TATATATATATATACATCTATATATTATACTATACATTATGACTTGTATATGAATGTTGGATGCTGCGTAAAGATTTTTCCAGTCTTAAAGTATATCTTTTTTTTTTTTTCTGTCGTGGTCACACCGGAGGAAAGTCTATCAAATATGTGAAATAAATTAATAGACAAAAAGATATATATATAAGATAAAATTAAAAAAAAATAATAAATAAATAAATAAAATCATTTGAAATAGATAGAAATATTTGTTTCTTTTTTCTTTTTTTATTTAAAAAGAGATAGACTTTCCTCAGCTTGGGGAACTTTTGAGATGGTCCTTGAACAATGAAACCTTTTATCGTTAATATATTAATTGGCCACGTCGATAGGTTAAATAGCTAATATTATGTCACCGTGCAACCCTGTCTCTCTTTTTACATAGTGGATATTATTGTCTACGAAATATAATTTTTTGTATTTCTGTTTTCTGTTTCGTGTCCTGTCCATCGACAATGCCCCGCGGCTGGGCAAGCAGGATTTCGAGGTATTAATCAACAAATCATTATTTGTTATAAATCCAATATTTAATTATACTCAGTGTTGGCCGTGTTCCGGAAATGCTTATTTCTTTTACCGTTACTTTTTATCGTTTTCTCACTATTACATACATATATATACATATATATACATATATTTATATAGTATTTATATATATATATATATATATATATATATATATATTAACCACACATTCTTGAATTGCATTTGAAACGACTGATCTGCTCTGTCTATCTTACTGTTCTCTCACCATCGATCGATGTCTTGGTACTGTCCGTTGTGATTGCGATACGTAGGTATATATGTGTGTAGTTAACGAGCACACGCATACATACGTGTATCACGAATTAAATATATCGTCCTAAAATTTATTTATTTCTTTTTTTTATCTTTTTATACTCCCCCAACGCATTCACGATTATCAGTGTTGTTCTTTTCTTTTATTTTTTATGATTATTATAATTATTAGATATGTATATACGTATATATATATATACATATAACAATATATATATATGTCAAGAATTAATCCAACAAATATTATTGAAAATGAAAACCACACGATATTCAATGCTCTTCGAATGCAATGCTACTGGAAATGGCAGAAACGAATGTTTAGGTTTGACGATTGAACAAAATATATAATAAAATAATAAAAAAAAAAAAAAGAAAAATGTGATGATTTTAAAGAAGCATCTCGCAACAACAGCGTAAGCATCGATGTGATCCAAAAAATATAGGATTCGGATAATCGTAAGATAAACTTCAGCAGATCAATGTTAGAAATTGAAGAATAATGAATTTTCTCTTTGATCTAATTTATTGTCTAACGCGATTATGCTGCATAATAAGTTTTTCTCCAGTTACAAAAAGAAAAAAGAAAAAAGAAAAAATAATATTCATTTCGGAGTACGGCCGTAGATGAAAGTATGTGCCGAAATAGTAGCGAATCGTGTAGTAACACCTGTAGTGCCTAACAAATACTGTTCTCAATAATTAATAATTAACGTACAAAATCGGGAGACATCTTGAAATGATTGATCTAACAAATATAATGAATTCAAAAAAATTGCATGAGATGAAATGGTTCAATTGGTACTTGAAAAAAAAGGAATCAATGTTACGAATAAGAGAACAAAAAAAATATGTCACCCAATTTTGATGAACGTCTCGAAAGGCTACCGTAAGACGGGATTCCGTTATACGGTGACCTTTTATTAACCAGGCTATTCTTATGGCGCCGATCACGCAGTAGAGCAATTAATTGTGTCGTGTTATACATCGCCATTCCTAAATTAAATACCAATTTAACAATAAGAAAATATAATTCAATCAACAACAACAACAACAACAACAAAAGTCTCATTAACGTTAAAATTCAAATCAAATTTTGATTCAAAACTAACCTACTATTATTGCAAATTTCATTATAATTCCTATACCATCATAATCACCGCGTTATCATAAATACACATATATACATACAAACACATACCTATTAATATACACATCATATATATATATATATATATAAATATATAATATATATATATATATATTACACCAYGAGATGATTTCTAGCATGGCACTGATGCGTGATGTTCCTCCTATCTTCCATTCTCTTCTATCGAGCACATACGAATAATAATTATTATTATTTCTTATTAAAATTCTCTCCTAATACTATATTACTACTATTACTAATTACTAACACACTTTGACTAACTATCTCACACATAGCACTTGAATATATTTAATCATGACTGTGCATCATTATCAAGGTACCCCGTCCGCCGCTATAAATATTACATATATATATTGTATATATATATATATATATATATCTATATTTATATTTAGACGATGCGATTGCACATTTTTAGCAGACTATCCGACGCTAAGCGGTTGATAACATACAATAAGTTTAGGCCATCTCCAGAGTTGCCTGCTGCTGATTAAATATTAACCAACTGCCACTGCCATTGCCAATGCAAATGCCATTGCTATTGCTGCTGCTGATTTGTTCGCGATATTTTGCTATATTTAAAACACATCGCTCTTATTGTTCTCGTTGCAATTAAACAAAAGAAAAAAAGAAGAAAAACAACCCCCCCCCCCAAAAAAAATATGATGCATGGGTGCGTGCGCTTTCGTAAGCTTCGCTTTTGCCACTTCCATTAAATCCTAATCTTTAAATCTTCTCTTCTAATTTGTCTTTTTTTTTTCAAAAGAACAATTTTCTTTTTATAGCTTCTATCATTCGAATAAAGTGACTTTCCTGATTCATTGAACATTTTTATCTTTTAGAATAGCACTGTATTTTTCTTGATACACCCAATCATGGATCACGAGAGTACAGTGTTTCTGGCAATGTTAATAATAAGATTTTTCAAATTGAATGATGTATCATTTTTAATCGAATTCGTATTAAACGATTTCTAAATCTTCCGATGTTGTCGTTATCGATATCATTGAACTTTGTGAATGAGCACTTTAAATAGATAGTAATATTCACATTAGAGAATGACGATGCATGATATTTAAAAGGGATTGCCTTGCTTAGCTGATTTCGTATTATCAATTTTTTTCACGAATACAATGTGAATATAAACATTTGCACTATTAGCATGAATTTTCAAATCTTATCTTTTGAAGGCTTTCACGCGGTCATCGTCACGTATTCTATACAAAAGTCATTACAAAAGAATGCACAATAAAAAGAAAAAAAGATCATCTTAAGATGAGTATTCTAAAAAAAAACAAAAAACTAGACGATTGTATGGGTAATTACTATTAGTAGGTTGATTAAATAATTCCAGGTGCATTCAAACAAACGATGATCTTTTTTTTCTTTTCCTCTTTGTTTTTTCTTTGCAAAATGCAGACGCATATTTAACCACGAGACTCATGTTGATCGGCTGTTGTATACATTTGAACAAATAATTCCAATAAACGCGTACCATGTGTCCCTTTTTTATAGAATGTTTCTACAAAAGAGCTGTGATCGGTCTCCTATTCTCATTTAAAGAAAGGTAGACGGACACACCCGTAGACGTAGTTTAAACGGTACTTGCATGGAAGCGTAGACCTTTTTTATCATCTAGTTCACGCTCGTTAACGCATAAATTGTTCTATTATTTGCAGTTTTTTGTAAGACTCGATCATATCCGCAAGTGCTTTACCCAGAAGGATGGAATCTTTGTTTTGGAAGAATTCAGTGAGTAATTAATCTCACAATGGTGAATGTATACAAACGCAATTATCTAAGGTATTGCAATTTACGTTTTCTACGTGTGTATCTCTGTTTCAGATCCTAAAACTAGACAAGTAATACAACGTAAATATAAGTCGCAAATGGTGAGTTTAATAAAAAATTAAAAAAAAAAAAAAATAAAGAGGAATATTTTAAGATGCTTATTTTTTCACCCGATATTGTTTTCAATATTATTCGTACAGTTCCATGATAAATTATTCATGGATATATATGTGCGCATGAAAAATTAATGTCATTAATTTAATATTATTTTTCTAAGTAATAGATCTTTTTTTTTTATGTTTGTTCCTTTTTCCTTTCTTTTTTCTTTTATAATTACGTTGAACCGACAGGCCAACGAGATGATACACTGTATACATCGGATATTTTCAATTGCGTTTGCCGTTGCCGAACTTTCGTCAGAGGTTCATCTTGAATCTTTGTCGGATAAAGATACTGCATGAAGCTTTATTTACGATGATTCATTTCGTTTCACGAGTTTAAAGTAAGTCTCCCACAATCCTTATTAATTATTTTTACGTAATATATATATATTGTTTCAATTTTATCTTTACGTTGCATTATTGATCGCACAATTTTATATTTATCCTCTTTTATAATTAATCGTATATATATATTTATATACATATGGAAACTTCAGTATGCATAATTATACAAATTTTTATATTCACAGGCAGATCAAATCTGTTACGCGGTACTCTGTGTATTTTCTTATTTGGCTGCTGGTTTAGAGCAACGTAAACCACAACAGCCAAATCAAAAATTACTCCAGCAGCAGCAGCAGCAGCAACAACAACAACAACAAAAACAACAACAGCAACAACAACAGCAGCAACAACAACAGCAACAGCAACAGTATCAGCAGCAATTGCGCCAACAGCAACAGCAGCAGCAGCAGCAGCAACAGCAGCAGCAGAAACAGCAACGTCAGCAACAATTGCAGCATCAACAACATCAACAACAATTGCAACATCATCAGCAACAGCAATTACGTCAACAACAACAACAACAACAGAGACGGCTGTCGCAAGTATCGCCAAGGGATGAAAATAGCCCTCATCAAGTCACACAGGGAAATACGAACACGCAATTTGAACCCTTTCCTCAACAACACTGACACAAAGGCAGACACTCTCTCCCATTCGTGCATGATTACAATAAATGCGCTCCTTACGCTTGCCTACCCTGGGTATGAATGAATCTAACGTAAAAAGCACGAATTGTATCCATTTCATTCTTCTTCAGGCCTTGGAAATAATCTAATAAATGTTCGTCGGCGTGGTATTTTCCTACGAAATAAAATAAAAAAAAAAAAAGAAAAAAAAAAGAAAAAAAAACCATAATATAAAGAACAGCAAGCTAAGCTTCGAAATTCTTCATCATTTCTAAACGCTTTGGCCTGCTTTATTTCTCCACTCGTTCGATACTTCCATTGTAACATGTGATATATGTAATCGATATAACAAAAAACAAAGTGCACTGAAGAAAGAAATAGGAACGGAGAGAGAGAGAGAGAGAGAGAGAGAGAGAGAGAGAGAGGGAGAAAGAAATAAAGAGAGAAAAAGAGATAAAACATAAAAGATATAATGAAAAACTTGTAAAACATACAGAGAATATACACAGGAACAAATATACTTGTATTATACATTATACAGCAGTGTATAGAAAGTGTATATTTTTTTCAGTATATATATATAACACGAGAGTATAGTTAAAAAAAAAAGAAAGAGAGAGAGAGAGAGAGAGAGAAAGAGAGAAAGAGAAAGACATAAAGAATATTGCAAGAGATCACATAATTTTGAGATAAAAGAAAAGAAAATAAAAACTAGAATCTGTACGTATACTTATAGATATTAAATATGCACGAATCCAAATGGATTAAAACAAATATAAAAACGACCGATCAAGAATAGCCGTTCTATACGTAGTCGTCACAGATGTTGTACAACTCGTGACTTTTTGAGTAAAATAAAAAAAAAAAGTTAACTGCAGCATTTCGTATTTTAGCGATCTCTCGTTAAATATTCCGAAAAAAAAAAGAATAAAACTATGATAATAATAATAATAATAACAAAAAATATATATATATAAANTGTATTATACATTATACAGCAGTGTATAGAAAGTGTATATTTTTTTCAGTATATATATATAACACGAGAGTATAGTTAAAAAAAAAAGAAAGAGAAAAAAAAGAAAGCAAGAAAGACAAATCAGCCAGTGACTATTTTAGAGGTTCCTATTTAAAAAAAAAAAAAAGAAAAGAAAATAAAACAGAAAAAAAGTAAAAGGTTAAAAAAAAGAAACACAACAGCGATTATTAAATAATTAGTTGAACGAGACGCTGAGCAAAAATATCGTAATGCCAATGAAATATAATTATAATCGGACGTAAAGAAAATAAATAATAAAAAAAATTCACAACACATCGACGCGTATGAGATACGCGACGAGAGAGAAAAAAAAAATAAAATAAAATTGTTTTGCCTTCCTCAGGTCTCATGATCGATCGTCTGTCTCTGTCTTATAGTAAAACATTTAAACGACATATCATACGAGAACAAAAAAAACAACAAAAAAAAACTTCCTTCTTTGGTTCGTCTCTTTTTCTCTTTTTTTTTTTCTCTTTTTTTATATAAAAAAATAAAAAGAAAAAATACCAAAAAAAAACAGACACAGAACAATAGAGAGAAATACATACATGCATACATGGTAGAGTTCCGTTGCAGCAGAACACGCTTATTTGACAATAACGATTAAACTCGACAGTTAAAAGTTGGCCTATGAGAAACACAACGTAGACATTTTTTTAAATCAATCAACAAACACGTCTACGTTTTATTTTTGGAAAATATTTCCAAAACAATATCCCATATTTTTCTCGAAAACGTTATTACGTGCGTGCGTGCATGCGTGCGTGCGTACGATGCCAAAAAATCTTCTACGATCAAAGTTAAATTTATTTTTAATCATCCTAATATCATTACACTATTATCGGCTCGCGATTCTAACATTCTACTTCTCATTCGTTAAAATCTCATTCATTGTATTTTGAGAAACAATCATTAGAACGATTAAAGACGGGCCTGTTCTTGGCGAGTGTGAGGAGCATAATACACTATTACCTGTTATTAAGACAAAACTAAGCAATATACGAAAAAGCTTCTGTTGTATTTTAGTTAATTGCACGTGTATTATTATTAAAAAAAGAAAATATGTATGAAAAATTGCAAGAAAAAAAAAAAATGCTAAAAATAAAAAGGAGAAAAAAAGAAAAACAT